GCAAAATGTACAGACTGCAAGCAGAAGATAAAACTACTATTGTCAGACCTCGTTTCAAACTTGTCAAAGTTCAAGGTGGTATACTTTCAAAGACAGTTCCTAACAAATATAAGACAACTCCTGACGAATATGCTAAAGAAGTTGAAAATGCCGACTAAGCATTTCTATACCATGCGTAAACTGTCATGTAAGGTGGCATGTAGTCTTTACTTTGTCCCGTTGTTTGCGTATACCCTGAAACGAAATGTGTATGGTTTCCTTCTCCCTGAGTGTCACTCCAGTAACAATTTATAGCAAACTTAACGTCGTCTTTAACATCATATCCTTTACCTTTTGTCATTCCTGACCAATCCCAATATCTATGCTTATGCCAACCTGCTTCAGATGTACTTAAATCTATGTAGTGACTGTGTGCAGGTAAATTTTCACCTGAAATCGTTTTACTTCCACTTGTTTCCTTTGAAGAGTTTGCACAATACAAAAACCTGTCGACTATTTGTTCCCATGCACCAACACCAAACATTACTTGAGGACCTCTTGCTTCCATAGATGTATAAATAGAACCTACTGGGTTCATTAAATCAAACATATGAGATATTATAGGATTGTCTCTTTTGAACTTAAAATATAGTGCAACTATTTCAGGTTTCTTCTGGTTTGTGTTAGAATATTTTTTATAATATAATCTTATGTTTTCAGGGTAGGTAAAGTCTTGACTATAATATTTATTTCTGTCATCTTCATAATAGTATACTATTCTCGTTTTTTCTATTGCATTATATCTTTTATATCTATAAAAATCTAATATAATGTTAGCTTTTGTTCATCTACATGTGGTGTTCTAACGTCATCTCCATAGTCATAATAATATGGTGCTGGAGCTGGGTCAGGCAATGTCATATCTGCCATTTCATAAACTCTTAAATATTTCTTTTGTTCGTCTCCATATAAGTTTAAGTAGCAGTTGTTGTGTCTAATGGAACTTTAACTTGTGTACCATCATTCTCTATATAGCTTACATACATTTCATTGTTATTTTTCGGAATGAGTTTATACCGTATACCATTTTTTAAGGAGTGTACAAACTCCCATCTAAAATATTTGTTTTCTTCATAGACAGAAAAGTCACCAACCATAGTTTCAATATTTTTTGTTCCAACTAAACTTTGGTATATTTCATTGACATATGTTTTATCTGCTTTCTTTTCAAGGCTAACGTTTAAGTCTGTTATTTCAGAAGATGTATGTGTATGTCCAACGTCACTTTTCCTGTTTAAGGTTTCTTGTAAGTTTGTAATATTTGCAATGGTATGTGTATGTCCAACGTCACTTTTCCTGTTTAAGGTTTCTTGTAAGTTTGTAATATTTGCAATGGTATGTGTATGAGTCTTTTTAGAATATTCGTTTTCAGCTCTTGTCACTTCACTTGACATTTTATTGTCAACATATGTTTTGTCTGCTAGTTCAGGATGAGTATGTTCTTTTGTTGCATATGTTGCATCTGCTCTGTCATGTTCTTCTTGAACTTTTTCAATGACATACTCTTTGTCAGCTTTCTTTTCAACATCTGCTTTTGTTGCATATGTTGCATCTGCTCTGTCATGTTCTTCTTGAACTTTTTCAATGACATATTCTTTGTCAGCTTTGTTGTCAACATCTGCCTTCAAAAGAAGTTCATCTATAGGTTTCTCGTTTAAAGTTCCTTTTGTTGGATTTACACAGACAGTATGGTTCTTATTGTCTTGAAATAGAAACTCATCTGTCATTGGGTTTAATGTCAGTTTTAAGTTTCCTTCTTTCAATGACTCAGATATCTTAGAATAGTTTGAAAAGTTTGTTGTGTTCTTATTTAGAGCTTGCAAAATGAGTTGTCGGTTGTGTTTTATTTCTCTCATAGACGCTGTTTCTTTCGACATTTTTATTCTAGATAAAATATGCTTTCAATAGAAAAAGAAAATTCAAGAGTTGCTACAACTAAACCATTAGATGAACTTTTTACTAATGTCGGTCAAAAGTTTGAGACAGAGACCGTAAAGCATGAAGGCTATCGTTTTGACTACCCATTGAGATGGTTAAGAGACCCATCCGTCACAAAAGCTGTTGGCTTTCGTAGAATGAAGTTCATTTCAGAAGCCATACATGGTTTCCCATTTACGGTCGGTTTTGAAATTCGATACTATAACAAAGAAAAACGTACGTATGAGAAATTTGAACAGGGAAAACTTTTACAAGTTAGTTTGTTTGTAAACTTAGAAACAACTCTTCAAGCTTTTCAAGAAAAAATAAACGATATCTATCTCGAATATGCAAAACAGTACAACATTGACGAAGGAGAGTACCATCTCGATATTATATATGACAGGAAAAATGCAACTGTTAAAATCAATAGAATAGAAGACCTTGGAGAAAACGTTTATATTTCTACAAAATATAACAACTTGGCATGGTATAGATTTCTAAGGATGTTAAATCAGCCTGCAGAATATCCAGTACACCCGAACTTTTATGAAGTCGAAAACCCTAATGGAACATATGAAAATGTTTTCGACTCAGATGCTATTATAGTTCATGCTTCATTTTCTGGCGCCCAAAACTCTTTTTTATGCTTGGCAAATGACTTTTACGAAAAACCTACAAAGCTATATGAACCACCGAGTGGAAGTATTTCAGACTTTCAAGTATGGTTTACAACAGATGGAAGAAAGAGAATAGTTCCATTATACCATGCGTTTTACTTAGAACTTAGTTTCATATACAACTACTATCGAACGGTAAAAATATAATTTTAATACGGTTGAGGTGTTGGATTTGGTTGCCAACTAGACTGTGGTGCAGGTTCAGGCTGTTGTATAACAGGAGCTTGTTCTTCTGGTTCAGGGTCTTTAGGTATAATACCAACGAACTGACCTACTCTTTTGCCAATATTTTTGACTCCGTTCCAAATTCCTCTTCCTACGGTTTTTATTCCATTCCATATACCTCTTCCAACATTTCGAAAGAAGTTTCCTATTCTTCCAAAGAAACCCATTTTACTATATGTAAAAATCTAATGTCCGCCTAGTCTCTTACGTTTCCTTCTGAGTTCCATAGCATTTTTTAACTGGAGCTCATACATTCTATTTCTCCTCTGGTAGAAAACATACTCTGGGTCAACTCCTGTGTTCGCGTCATCTGCATAGAGTTGTTTATATCCCACTTCAGGGTTTGTATAAAACTCTTTCCATCTCATATTTGCATACCATGGTGGCAAACCTAACGCAGCGTCATTTGACATGGCAGTTTGCATTTGTACATCTGTTGGCACTTGACCATAGTTTGCCATTGCAGTTTGTATTCTAACTTCATTTGGAATATTCTCTGGGTTTGGTTGTCCAGGTTGCTGTGCATTCGCTAAGTTCTGTGCGTCCATTTAATATTAGATAAAAATATCTCTTACGAGTACATATACTGGACATTTGCAGGCATTGGTTCATCTTCATATTCTCTATATCTTTCTGCCACGTCAAATAAGTAAATGACACAATGGAAAAAACCTAAAACAAGTAGTCCTATTTCAAACCACATTTACTTACCAATAAAATTTCTTTGTTGTGACACTTTTTCCGGTTTATAGGACCTCTCTCATATTCTATCTTATCGTATCTAAACTCATACTCATGTATGTCCTCTAACCATCTCATGACACTTTCCAAACCACTTTTATCGGATGTAAAGTAAAAGCATGGATGGTTATGTAAAACGTCTAAAGTTTCTAAAGAGTCTCTCAAAGTCCAGTCTACTTGGTATTGAAAATCATATGTGTTATAGAACGGTGGGTCTACTATAAAGAAAACATTTTCCTTGTTTTTATATTTTTCATACAACTCTGTCCAATGACATCTCACAAAACTCTATACCCTCAGTATATTTTCTATGTTCTCTTTGAAAACCTTTGTATAGTTAAGATATAAAACGTTTGACATAAGTGTTTCAATGTCATGAACTCTTATAGAACCACTATACAATAGTCTAGAAGATATACTATCCCAGTCTATATATTCTGCTTTTTTCAAAACCTCTCTGACAGTATTTTTCTTATCTAATGGTATACGTTCCATCTTACCTATAGGTATCTTTTCTTTTAACTCTTTCAATATTTTGTTTGTGTCTTGTATATGTTTGAGACGGTTCATATAGTTGTCGAAGTCATTGCATATAATCTTTGAGTCAGGAAATACAGTATGGCACAAATGAGATATATAGAAACTTCCACCGAACAAATCTACAAATGTTAGACCATTCGGTAGTTTCTTAAGTTCTCTCAATAGAATATCTTTACATCTACTCTTATTTCCAAAGAAGGGTAATGGTGGTTTTGTAAAATTCATTTTATATACAATAAAAATGTTTTTTTCCTGAAAAGTGACAGAAAAGTGACAAAACATCTTCGGGGCTAGAGGGCACGAAGTGCCTGGAAGCCCCAATACCTTTTTTTTTTTAACTATTATTTAATAAAGTTTAATTGCCAAGGTTCATCTAATTTTTTGATTTTTAATGTTTTATGAATTTTATTTATCATGTATATATCTAATGAAGATTATATATGTAGAAGATAAGTACCTTAATATGTACGTAAAAATTAATGAAATTTATTTTGAATGTAGAACCGAGCAATTTTCAAATTTTGTGCTTTTTTTGAATTTTCTCGATACCAGATAAGTTGTGTTGGCTAAATAATATATGGATACAATGTGTCTTATAGATGAATATATGCACAAAGTTTAAGAGGCCATTTTCTTTCAGAAACCGAGATTTGTGAATTATTTCAAATTTTGTGCTTTTTTTGAATTTTCTCGATACCAGATAAGTTGTGTTGGCTAAATAATATATGGATACAATGTGTCTTATAGATGAATATATGCACAAAGTTTAAGAGGCCATTTTCTTTCAGAAACCGAGATTTGTGAATTTTTTCAAATTTTGTGCTTTTTTTGATATTGAAATTTCATTTCATTTTTTTGATGCATATCGATGCACCATGCGAACTTAAAGAAAGGCTATCTTATATAGATGCTATGAAAGCTGTCATTGATAACGAATGCCATGCAGGTTGTCCATATCAATTAAAAAAAAATCCAAATTTAGGGGGAACAAAATTAAAATTCAGGTGCAGTGCAGATAAATGTGAAGCATGTATCTCATTTCTAAAGGATGATGAAGAATATATCCTAACAGAATATAATGGAACACATAATCACAATCAAATCAAAGATGAGACAAAGAAATACCACACATTATCACAATGCTATCGTCGGGTACTTATTAATTTTATAAAACAGGGGGGTGATCCGAAAATGGCTCAAATTGAATGCGACAAAAAACTTGATCTGGATGATCCACTTAACAGGCCATCTTTTTTGAATGCATCTTCAGATCAAATGAAAACAATTCAGGAAAAAGGAAATAAAAAGATCAAAGGTATTCAAAAGTACGATGATAATCAATTCAAGTCAACTCAATTATTTAAGGGTATCAAAGAACAAGAGTCACCAAAAGATTTAATTTATTTCGATGTCGATAATTACAACAAACCAAAGAAATTAATCTTTTATTATGCTTCTTTCAAATTTCTGGACATAATCAAAATTGTGAAAGAGCATTTTATTGATGCAACCCATTCATTACTTGAATTTAAAATGTTGTTTTACATGATATCAGCCAAATTTCCAAATACACATGCATTCCCAATTTTTCAATTTGTCGTTTATCCAAACACTTCAGAAAATATTGCATTCTGTCTCAAGGCATTTTTTAACTGGGCAAAAGTAAAACCAAAATATTTTATGTCAGATTGTGCACAAGAAATCGAAAATGCGATTATCAACTCTTTTCCAGAAGTTATCCTTCATTGGTGTGCAGTTCATGTAATGAGGGCGTTCAGAAAAAATTTGAAAGATTATGCATTTGAGAGTTCAGACAAATTGATATTAGATACAAAAATGAACTATCTTGCATACGGCAGAAATGGCAAGAAAGAATGGATTGAACCAACGTTCAAAAAAATTCTGGAAATAGCCGAAAAATTCCCAGAATTTTCAAAATACATACAAAATCAATGGATATCAAACCAAGAAAGATGGACAGCCGCTGAAAGAGATGAAAATTTAGCTCTCACAAATAACATTTCAGAATCGATTAACAAAAAAATTAAATATTACTACTTTGGCGGAACAATTTTCATGAGATTTGATCGATTTGTGATGAAATTAATCGATTTTATCGTTCCTTCATTTTATTACAGAATTTCTCAAGATATAAGGCTCAGAGACAAAATTCCAAATCCGTTGCCATCTGAAAAAAAGCCAAAAAAGTCTACAATCAGACTGGATACAGAAAAATGTATAATGCTCACTGATAAAATTAAATCGTTAATAGTTAACTCATCAGCAAACTTAAATACGCTTCAATTGGGTTTAGATGACCTACTTGATAAAGTTGTCAAGGCAGCAAAGGTTCAAAAACGAATGACCCAGTATTTTTCGAAATTAAGTATCCCAATGGAAATCAAGCTTAGTATTCTCACGCAAATTACAGAATTTGGATGCAATACCCCTCAATTCATTGTTGAGAATGCCAAGTCTTTTCAAGATAAAATTATTACAGATTTCCACCTTCGAATTTATACAACATTATAAAAATTTATGAATAAAAACTTGATATAAAATAACATTTTTATTTTTACTAAGAAAAAAAAGGTTTTTGATAATAAATTTATTTTATTTCGAAAAAGTAGCAATAATCGTAAAAGGGTATTAATAGGCTTGCTAAAGTAACTAATTTTAGCTGTCAAATACTTTTGTATTTTGAAGTAAATTAGTATAAATTTGTTTTTACTTTTATTTCGAAAAAGTAACAATAATCGTAAAAGGGTATTGATAGGCTTGCTAAAGTAACTAATTTTAGCTGTCAAATACTTTTGTATTTTGAAGTAAATTAGTATAAATTTGATATTATTTTAACTCCCTTTGAAAACCTCAATTTTCCATACAGAGGGAACGGGAATAGCATACAATATTCCCTGAGAATGGTTGCGCATTCTCAGTTCCCTCTATATTTCGAACGAAGCTCTCATCGGTCTTTTTTTAATACTAAACGTTTTTTTCCCCTGTCACTTTTAGCTAAAATTTGGGTTTGCCGATAAACAATTTCATATTTTGTGATAATATTTTTCTTTATCACTAAATCTAAAATAGGAAACTCTGCTTCACACAGATATGATGAAAAGTGAGAAAGATGATGAATACAAGATGTATTTTGAACATTATTTGTTGTAACTGCTCTATTTGTTTTATCTATTATCCTGTCACAGAAAGAATCTTTAACTGTAATTGAAACAGAATATTCTTGTATAAATTCTACACCTGGTCCTGTGTTTCCAAGAAATGAACAGTTTTCAATATGAACAGTTGATCCATCTGCCCAGAATGTTTCCTCATTAGATTCTTTGTGTTCATTATTCAAAACATTACAAAAATTAAAATTATAGTTACCATTAGCTAATTCTAAAATTAAATAAGTTGATGTTGTGTTACAAAATGATGAATATGTTACGTTACTTAGACTTGCTGGATTACCTAGAAATATTCCTGAGTCATACTCTGCTTTACAGAAACTTGTGTTGATTGATTTAACTTCAATATTTCCATAATAAAGATAATTTGTATAAGATTTTTCTAAATTTCCGCATTCATAAAAAGAACTTTCATAAAGATAATTTTTATTATTTGATTTATCAACTAATTGAACATATGAATGATGTCCTTCAGAGTTTGTTTTTGATTTGTAGCCACATGTTCGGTATTGGACAATGGAACTAACACAATTAAAGTAGATAGATCCACCATTTGTATTACTGCTGCAGTTATTAAATGAACAATCTGAGTTAAGAAACTTATTGTTATATTTAGAAAAAGAAATGGCACTATTAGTTGTAATAGTGATGAATATGCTTTCATATATGAAACATTCATTATTTGTTGATGTTGCTTGAACATTCTTACCAGTGATGGGTTCTGGAGAACTTGATGTTCCATAAAAAAGTTCTCAAACATCACTAGCAGATTGAGAAAGATCAAAAACTTTCTCTTCCTAAAATAAATGTAAACTTCAGAAATCTACTTCCCTCGTCAAATTTTTCAAGAAAAGTTAATAACTTTCCATAAAAGTACAACAACCAGAATGTGAAGAATCAACTAAATTTCGAAAATTCCCAATTTCATAAAAAATCCAAAATTTGGGTTGAAAGTTACAAGCTCTCAATTTTCGTCCCTTTTGTACGTTTATTATAATTGTAGCATATTGTCATCAAGCACGCGACTAACCAGCAAAGACGTGTCCTCTAATTCCGTCCCTAGTTCAAGAATCTGGAACTATTTAAGCAAAAACATTCGATTTCAAAATCAAGCATTCTTTATTCAACGAATAAAACATTAAAGTATGATTTGTCATACACGGAATAATGACAAGCTCTTAGAGTATGTTTAGTACAGAGTTACTGCCAACTTGAATTCTTGAATTTGGTAAGTTAGAACAAAAGAAGCCATATGTCGCATCTAAGGACTTGTACTTATCAGAGTATTACTAAATGTTTAAGAATGTTAGTTATTCGTCCCAAACTCGTACGTTTCCACGCGAATCTTGATAATAAATATACTATTTTGGACTTTTTGCAATAAATCTCTTTTTACCACATTAGCATATCTGTGTGTATGCTACTTAACCTCTTTAGAGACCATTAAGATAATGTTTTTTGATACTTTTTCAAGACTATGCCATAAAGTAAACGAATAATTTACAAAATGATATTAAAAAATTTAATTTTATTATGCTTTTATAAATATTGAGACTTTTTAGGACTATTTTAAAAATGTAAATAGATCAATCATTTTAATATTAGATAAGATAATCTAAAGACGTCAGATGTTTCAATAACTTCAGATCAATGACTAATATGAAATTTAAGATTTGTGTTAATTTAAGAATTAACAATGGAATCTGGTTTAGAAAGATGGAAAGCATAGAGAATCTAAAGGATAAGAGAGATTAAATACAAAATGCTGCATAAAAAGGCAGATCAGTAAGAAGAAATCATGAGGTTAAAAAGGAACATTCAAATTAGAATATAACATTGCATATTACAATATTAATATTAAAGATAATACTGCACATCATTGTGCAGTGATCCATAAATCAATATTAATATCTCATATGATAAAATCTAATATCATATTACAATATTAATATTAAAGATAATACTGCACATCATTGTGCAATTACACTATTTTAAATATTTTCATAAATAATGACTTACAAGTTAAAAAAATGTAGAATTAACTGCATGATCCAATATTGGACCGAATGTATGTTTGAATCTATAACTGAATTCATTAATGACAAAAAGGTGACTCTATAACTGAGTATCTGGCTGACAATATGCCTGAAAGTTTGAATGTGTCTAGGAATATAACTGACAGTTTGAGTGACATTTTGAATGAGGGTTTGGTTGTCAGTATAACTCAAGGTTTGAGAGAGAATATGACTCACAGTTTGACTGACAATATGACTTAGAGTTTGAGTGACAGTATGAACAACAGTTTGGGTGATAGTATGAACTACAGTATGACTGAGAATATGACTGACGGTTTGACAGACACTTTGACTTACGGTTTTAGTTAGAATAAGTTAGTATACAAGTCTTGGGTACGGCGGCACTGCGTTCCACCTTACCCAATACTTGTGAATTTGACACTTTACAAAGCCGCCAACCACTTCACTAACGAACTCACTAATGTAAAAAATAAACGTTCTCACTATCGTTCTCACTAACGACTTCACTAATGTTCTCATAAATTTTCCTCAATATCTTCATCATCAGTGTTAACCCTATTGTAGTCATACTTGAAGCCATAAACTTTCTCTAACTTCTTAACGTACAATTTACATAACTTACCTTCGTCATCATATGGTTTAATGATATAACTATTTCTATCTTTATACACAGTCAATGAAAAGTCAACTGGTCTCGGATGTATTTGAAAGAACATGTTATGCTCAGGAAGGAAGAATAAATGTTTAAATGTATGTTTGTTATACTGTGGAATTCGAATGAGTTGCTTTTGTTCTGTCATTTACATCCAAATAAAAATTTTCAGTAAAATAAAAAAATAAACTTAAAAATAAATGATATCACCACCCTCACACGTATGAAAACATAGCACAAAAATAAATTTAGGTGAAGTGGTGAGATCTCACCTCTTTTTCACCTGTTTTTTCACCCTGTTGAATTCATTGCTTTATAACTCTCTTCCTTTATCCAACTCTTCTAACTTCTTCTTAAGTTCAGCAATGTTGTCCTCATGAAGTTTAATCTTTCTCAAAATTCCTTCTTTATCTAATGGTTGCTTTATCTTTCTAAACTGAACTCTACCATCCTTCATAGTATGAATGTAAAAACCTTCTGGAATAGTTCCTGATTTAATGTATTCTACCAAAAACTTTTGTTTCATTGCTTCAGTGACTTTATTTGTCATTTCAATCAAATAAAAATTTTAATATAAAATAAAAATAACGTTATTTTTCAGTAAGGAAACGCAGGAGTTTTACGATTTATTTGAGGAGTAGGTTCTGGTTTAAATGTTGGAGTCGGTTTAGGAGTTGACTTTTGAACAGGAGTTTGTACTTCCATAGGTTCAGGAGTCATTGAAGGTTTTGCTTGTGAAGGGGTTGGTTTTGACGTTGGTTTGGCGAAGGTGTCGGAGTTTGTTTAACTTCAGCTACTTCAGTATTATTTACAACATTTGCTTTATTTCTTTTCAACATCATAACTGCTCCTGCTGTAGCTAGCAAACCTAGTGGGAGACCATATCTTATATAAGGACTTGACCAAATGCTATTTTTGACAGGAGCTGGTGGAACACCTAACCTTGGTGAGACTGCTCTTTGCCATTGTGCAGCTCGTAAGAAATATTCAATAGCTGCTCCATAATCGTTTGGTAAAGTTTGTTTCATAGATGGTGAAGGTTCACGAGAGCTTGATGAAGAACTCATTTATAAGCTTTAAAAATAAACGTTCATCCTTTATTCCTCACTGTCGTCCGTAGCTAAGTTATAGTCATCTAATCTTATTATGGGGATGCCATTAGCACGCACCTGAATGGCAAAGCAACAATCCCTCATAAATCCAATAAGTGGCTTTGGTACATTTTCAGTTGCTAGTTCAATAGGTCCTTTAACAGACAATTTGTATGTTATTGGAGCAGTAGATGTTTGACCTTGCTGGAAGCAAAAGTCCACTTCTGTTGGAAAACCACATAAGAAATGTGTGTTGTCATAGCTATCCCATTTATGTTCCACACTACCATCATCCACCAATGACCTCATAACATCTTCATTAAATCCTATCATATCATTGTTTGTATTGCAGGCGTTCGCAACCATTTCATAAAATACAGGTCCATATGATTTTTCAGGTTCTGCAGGCATATTTCCATAAGCTCCCATGGAAAGCTGAAGATATTTAAACTTAGGGTTCTCAAAATTAACATAATAGTTGTCTTTCTTTCTAAATAGTGCCCAAATACTTTTAACATTAATAGGCGTATAAGCTGCTGTAAATGTTGCACTTGAACTATCTGTA